AACCCAAACTAAACCAGGTGCAACTAGAAAGTCAAGAACATCTGAGTCCTGCTCCATTCAGAGGATTGGAAAGTAATGAAAGATGAGAAGGCTCACCCATCACTGGTGGACACGCAAAATCGTACAGCTCTTTAGGTAACAGCTTGGAAGTTTCTTAGAAAGTTAAACAATCCACCTACCATATGACCCAGCCATCCCACTCCTAGGTATGTTACCCAAGCAAATAAAAACTCGTGTTCACACTCAAAGCTGTTGGTGAATGTTTATGGTGACTTTATTCTTCATCATCAAAAGCTGGAAAGAACCCAAATGCCTTCCAACTGGGGAAAGGATAAACAAACAATGAACTACTACTCAGAATCAAAAAGGAACTGACACTTAGCAACATGGAGAGATCTGAAAGGCACTGTGCTAAGGAAAAGAAACCAGACTCCAAAGGCCACCTTCTGTGTGACTCCATCTTTGTGACATTCTTGTAAAGACAAACACAGGGACAGAAGACAGACCAGTGATGGCCAGGAGCTGGGGGTTGGAGAAGGAGGCAACCACAAAGGGGTCTATGAGCACGTTGGGGGTGGGAGGGGATGAAAGAGTTCCCGACAGTCACATGACTATACTTCGGTTGAGGTTCACAGAACTGTGTGCTTTACAAAGGAAAAGGTCACTGTACATAAATAACATCTTAAGTAACTGGGAAAAATAAAAATGAAGACAATACTCTAAGAAAGAATCCCAAAAACATACTCTTGGACTAGTTGAGCCCCAGCCCTCCTCAGTGTGGCCAGAGCTGTAAGGAAAGACACCCGAGTCAGAGGCAGCCCACACCAGGAGCCTGCCAATGCAGAATCACTCCTTCCACATCTCCTAAGGTCACCTGGAAACGTGTCAAATATAGCTTAGTCTAGCAAATGGAGAATGTCCATCCAAGTGTCCGTTGGAGAAATCAGAACTAACTTTCAAACAGTCACCAGAGAACTCCAGGAGCCCTTGGGGGCTGTAACTGGAATTTAAGTGAAAGAGCACCATTGGGGCCCGAGGCTGTGGCTCAGCGGTAGAGCGCTTGCCTAGCATGTGCGAGGCCCTGGGTTCAATCCTCAGCACCATATAAAATAAATAAATAAAATAAAGATGATATTGTGTCCAATTAAAATAATAAATTTTTTTTTTAAAAGAGCACCAATGGATGAAATGCTGGCATCGCCACACAATGGAATATTATTTGGCCACCAAGAGGAATGTGGTACTAACACAGGCTACAGCACGGATGAGCCTTGGAAGCATGCTAAATGAAACAGTTCCAATACAAAAGGAGATTACATATATGTATATAAAATTCCATTTATGTGAATTGTCCAGAATGAGTGGATCCATAGAGGCACAACACAGACTGGTGGTTGCCAGGGCTGCAGTAGGAAAAATGGAAGATGACTACTGACAGGTACAGGGTTCTTCTTGGGGTGACAGGAGTGCTTTGGGATTACACAGTGGACCCGGTGATGAGGCCAGGTCCCAAGGCTGGACTGACACCTTTAGTCCCTTATCACCAACTCCCACTTCTCTGTCTCCCACAGACTCCCATGAGCCCCTGGGTCAGCACACCTGCTTGTGGCCTGTTCCAAGCTGCTTTCTCCATCAGGTGGTCCCCCTGGGCACAGGTCTGCCTGCTCACCACTCCCACAACCCCAGCCCTGGAACACCAAGTGGCGTTCAGAATCGCTGAATGAATAAAATCAGAGGGCAAACTCAGGTGCCGTCCAACCCCACCAAAGTACACCGTCTGAAAAGCAAAGCAGGAAGAACAGGCTTGAGCATTTCTCCAAGGCATGTCCAGCCCCGTTAACCGAGGCACAGAGTTGCCGTCAGGTGGCAGTTTTCTTTACCTCTCCTTCTGCCGGGACACACTCAGAAAGGGCCCACGTGAGATCTGAAGATTAAGTGTGCACACATATGTGCACGTGCAGGCGACCTCTGAAGCAAGGAGCACAATCATGTAGGCCCTCCAGGCCCCTCCCCAGACAGGGCTGCATTTTTCTGGAATTGTGTCATGATTCGCAGGGAGCTCACTCTCAGGCCTCCTTCCATCTCGGAGCTGGGTGGGGCTGCCCAGAGCCACCGCCAAGAGCTGGCCACTCGCACCATTCTTATGGCGAGCTCTGACCTCCGAAGAAGCGGGGTGCCCAGGATGAAGCCCCGGCTCTCAGCCCAGGCTCAGCAAGGTGGCGCCAGGAGAGCAGGTCAGGGGACGACCCATGCGGGGCTTGGACTCAATCAACTGGACACAGAAAATAGGGCAGCTGCATCAAGAAGTCCAAGCTTCTGGCTTAAAATAAAAGGGGAAAATTAAAATAAAGTTTTAAATACATAAATGCATAAAGTGGGGCGGGCAGGCTTGTCCCTCTTCTCCACAAGCTGGCAGGGGGTAGGGCTGTGGAGACCACTGAGCAGGGCGTACAAGAGGCCAGTGGTCTTAAGTGACTCCGGTCCTGATGCAAGGCTAAAACTGACTTAACCCATGGAGCCTTCCCCTTAGAACTCTGGGACTCCATCAAGGGCCACCACCGTCTCAGTACCCCTCAGACCTGAGCTCTGAGGGGGTGCTGGGTAGTGCGGGTGCCACCATGTCATCCTGGGCTGTCACCTCCGAGCTGCCTCTAGGCTGAGAAGGCAGAGGCAGCAACACCCTCACCAGCAGGTGGGCACACCAGGGACAGGCCAGCCTGAGCCCAGGGGAGGTCCTACCTGGTGGGGGGCAGGGCCTCTGCAGCCCATGCTGGCCATGACCCTTGCATCCCTGTGTCTTCCATCTTCTCTGAGAACACCTGGCCCTCTGGACGCTTGGCTCACTGGCCCCAGGTGAGGAGGATGACTTACCAGATAAATAGGAGCAAGTATCCATGGCCCCGCCTCTCAGTGTGTCCAGGGAAACGGAATGTTCTTTACCGGTGTCTCCTCCAGGGCCCCACAAACATGAGGCAAAAAGCCACTGACCAACCTTGACACCCCCCTCCCCCAAATCAGGAACTCAGGGCTGACAGCAAATGGAGAAGGTCACACTGCCATCCTCTCACGGTTCTACCTTTGCCTGTGAATCAGGCACAAAAGAGAAAGTTGGAACCTGTCTTATGGGAAACTTAAGGATCCAAAGGAGAACACTATTTGCCCAGGGCCATGCTGCCACTGGGAATGGAACTCAGGCCTCAAGACACCTGGATTGGGGCCCTTTCCAGTCACGCAGTTCACTGTACCTGGGACCGAGGGCCTGGGACATAGGGCTCTCACAGATGCACAGGGGCCAGAGACAAACATTTTCTGAACCTATGCCACCCTCATCCCTAGGAAAGAGGATGTCCTGTCCACTGGGATCCAGCAGGGAGCTGGAACTTGACCAGGAACTTGACCATCTCTGCCCTGCAGAATCCCAAAGGGACCCAACAGGGCAGCTCCATCCATCACAAGCCTGGGCTCCCAGGGGTCAGAGCATGTAGATCAGCTCAGACAAGCCCAGGATTAGCAGCTCAGCTTCCACACCCCATCCACCTCCCCCCCTCCCTTCCTCCATGCACCCCAGGGCGGTCTTGCGCCCACACAGCTGCCCCTATTGGCACTAATACGCCCATCACTGTGCGGAGCAGCCAGGGACAGCACTCCCTGCCTCCATGCTCTATGCTGACCCAGAGCTGCGATTGGCACAGCTGTCCAGAGGCAATGATCTCTCAGGCAGTGAAAATGGGGTAAAAAGAAGAAAACATAGTGATCCTCGCTCGCGGGAGGCCGAGGCTCACAGATGCACCACTCTGCAAATTCGAGGCCACCAACACCAAGGCCAATAGTTCTCAACCTGGGAAAATTTCTCCACCCAAGGATCATTTGGCAATATCCTGCGATATTTTTGGTTATCAAAACTGCAGGGGTACTCCTTCCATCTAGTGGGTAATAGGCCAGAGGTACCGCTAAACATCCTATGATGCACAGACCATTCACCCTAGACACAGAATCTCAAGGCCCCAAATGTCAACAGTGCTAGCTTCACAATCCCTACTTAGATCTGACCAGGGGAAGATTGTTTCTTTTATTTCATTTCCCCAAGACACCTAACATCACTGCCCTATAAGAGAACAGGAATAAAATGTGAGTGTATGACAATTACAGCTCCAGATAAATGCTCACAGCCTGTTAGAAAAACTCCGACTTTTCCTCTGTTACAGGGACTCTTAGTGACGGGGCTGCAGACTGGAAGGTGCCCCTTTGGAAAAACAGTTGGGAGTGAAGTCAGGACAAAGTTCTGAGTGTGCTCTCAATGAGCTTCAGCATCCCAGAAAGGCCTTGTGACATCACCAACAGGCAGCTCAGGGGCCTCCAAACCTGGGGTAAACAAGAAGTGCTCTGCTGGGGGGTGGGGGTGGCATGCCCGGCTTTAAAGTGGTTTTAATCAGAACCTCTTTGTTCCTTCAGGAAACTCTGTCAAAGGCTTCACGTTCCGCCCTGAGATCTACTGTCTATGCAAATTAAGGATTTGAAATGCAGACAGTTTTAGGGCCAACAGCATTTTGGTGTTTCTTAATGTCAATGTGAGAAAAGGGGGCGGGGAGGAGAAAGAATGCAAATGTTCTCAACCAGAAACACTTCCCTCCTGCCCTGGGTCAGGAATGGGTAGGGACCTCTGCAGAAGGTGGGGTGGGGCGGGAGTCTGCAGCCAGGAGACAGCACAGGAGAAGCTGTGGCAAAGGCCTTTGGAGAGGTGCTGGGGAGGCCTGGGGAGGCCCACTTCACCCAGACCAGAGCCGTCTGTCAGAACTACATGGATCTCAGATTGACTGAGCGGCAAAGGCCAGGACACTGGGAGAAACAGCAACACACAGGTCCCAGACGCTCTAGTCAGAGCAAGAGACTGAGTCCCGCCCTCCAAAGTGAGCTTCCCATTTTTGGTGCAGCTCTGACTGACTCATCAAGATGCTGATTTGGAAGATACAGAAAATGTAGAGTGTCTGACACCTGCTTACATATTCCTGGAAGTCAAAGAGTGGAGTACAAAGTACCATGGAGTCTTCACATCTGGGTCCAAACCCCACTTCTGCATTGAGCTTTCAGACCTGAAAGGAGCTGCAGTCCTCTGAGCCCTTCAGTTTCTTCATCTGTAAAATGGAAATTCCAGGTCAAGGGCTGAGCACCCAGAAGCCCTCCCTGAAGAAATGACGAGCAGTTATGATCTGAGCAGACAGCGGAAGGCCTGCGCACAGTGCGGGGCTGGGGGTCTTCCGGCTCCCGAGAGCCTGGGGGAGGACAAGACTGAACTCATCCACAGCTCAGCTTTCTTGTCTGAGCTGCAAGCCCCTACCCAGAGCCACAAGAACCCCGGAAAGGGCTGGGGCTGTAGCTCAGTGGTAGAGCGCTTGCCTAGCACCTGTGAGGCACTGGGTTAGATCCTCAGCGCCACATAAAGATAATCAATAAATTAAATAAAGTTATTGTGTCCATCTACAACTAAAACAAAACAAAACAGGAAAGCAGAGGCCCTGCTTCGGAATCATGATTTGGTAAAGAAAACCTGGAAAGCCATTTGGTAGCACTTAACCCATTCCTTCTTCACCCTAGGCCCATTTCCAGTTATCATCAGTGATGTCCCCACACTTGTGCACCCAGAGTCGTGACAGTAATAATAATACAGTAATAATAGCCAAACTTTAATGAGCAATCACAAAACTCAAAGTTTTCCATGCAATTTGCATATTTGTACATTTCAATTCAACTTGTATATTTGATACATCTGCTGGGTTCTACACATTGATCCGATAGGTGTATTAAGTCACCCGTCTCTAAAAAGTAGGTATTTTTATTATCTGCTTTTAACAAAAAAGAAGGCTGAGACATGGAGAGATTAGTAACTTGCCCTAGGTCAGGGGTCAGCAAATGCTTTCTGTAACAGGCCAGATGGTAAATATTTTAGGGGGGCCATATGTTCTGTGTCCCAACTGGTCAGCCCCACCGCTGTAACAAGGAAACAGCCCCAGACAGCAGGTCAACAAAGAGCGTGGCTCAGTCCTAAGGGAATGTTACTTGCGATGTTGAATGTTGAATTTCATATATCAGGAACAATTTATCCTTTTTTTTTTTTTTTTGGCAACCATTTAAAAATGAAGAAATATTCTTGGCTTGTGAACCACACAAAATCATGACAAGGGGACTGGCCCAAAGAGCTGCAATTTGTCAACCTGTGCCCTAGGTCATTCACCTAGCTGGAAGTCCTGTTTCAACACCAGGAAGTCCAAGCTCCACAAGATGCATTCACAAACTCACTCTATCATCACTCCAGTTTCTAGCAAAAAGAAAGGGGCCAGGAGAGGTGGCACACACCTATAATCCCAGCAGCTCGGGAGGCTGAGTCAGGAGGATCCAAGTTCAAAGCCAGCCTCAGCAATAGTGAGGTACTAAGCAACTCAGTAAGACCCTGTCTCTAAATAAAATACAAAATAGGGCTGGGGATGTGGCTCAGTGGTCGAGTGCCCCAGTAACCAAAAAAAAAAAAAAAAGGGTAAGGAAATAGTTTAATTAATTATGAATGGAATTTATATTATGGAATGCTCTACAGCATTAAAAAGGTCACACACACACACACACACACACACATACAGGCTGACACATTGGAGAGCTGTATTTTTAAGTGAAAATAGCAAGTTGTACATCAACACGCACATCATGGCCCTATTTATGAATTAAAAAATTTAAATGACAGTAATTGTGTACATGTATGTACATATACGTGTTTGCACACATATAAACAGTTAGCACCCAGGAAGTGCAGAAGGGGCTTTCATACTTGCCTGGGTATGTATGTATGTGGCTCTATAATTTGAACCTTTTCCATTCCAAATGCATCCTTCTCTTGCTTGTGTAATAAAAGAAAAAACAATTCAGGTCCTAGTTACAAAACACCACTCCAAAACATACTTGGAGCACTCTGAGCAGTTTCCATGTCCTCCAATCTAAACAAAACCTGGTTACAATTAATGATGGCAGGACAAAGACATTCTTCCCTAAGGAAAACAAATAAACAAGGTGGCATAAAAGATTCAAGCAAGCAGGGCTACGATTCTCTATCTAGAGGGATTTTTCTAAAAACTTGCATGTGTGCATGATCTAGCCTTCTCCAACCAAGGATGTGGGTCATACACAGAGCCTCCCGGTTCTCATCTGCTGTGTGACAGCCCGGGCGCAGCCTGCTGGGCCACATGCACTCTCATTTATGAAGTTATTTTGGTTTGCTCTACTGGCATAAGCCTAGCTGCGGGGGGAGTCATCCGCTGTGGAAATGAGATTTCCCTCAGTGCCAATCCTTAAATCCATCCTGCAGGTCATCTCATTTTGTTGGAAGCTTCCCACAGTCCCATTTTTTTGTTTGTTTGTTTTACATGAAAGAGCACATTCCCTTTCCCTAAGCCAGGTTCGCTGTTTTCCATTGCTCTTATTAAATGTATCTTATTCAAATGGAATGTTCTCCCTGGCCTGGCGTCCCGTGCCCTGGGATGGTCACACAGATCCCAAACTCCAGGCTGCCCTTCACCACCTAATCACAGCTGCAGAAAAGAGGAACTCGTACCAAATCCCCTCTCCTCAGACCAACACTAGTGAGTGAGTCTGACCCCCTGGGCTCACCGTCCACTGGCCCTGGGGTGCTACTTAAAACAGCAGCTGGCTGAAGAAGTCAGAATGCGCAGAAAGGCAAATCCCCAAGGAGCCTGCTCTTCTGAGGTGACCTTCCCATCAGAGATTCCAGAGCCCGCTGCTGACCAAACAATGCTCCTTCTCAGACCCAAGCAAGGCCTGGTTTGGAGGGTGCAGGAGGGAGCTTTAACCCCAAGGAGGCATGCCATTCCAATCCCAAGTTTGTGCCGGTTTGGTGGTGCAACCTGTAATTCCAGCTACCCCAGAGGCTGAGGCAGGAGGAGAATCACAAGTTCAAAGTTGGTCTGAGCAACTTTAGAGAGACCTGGCCCATCCCACCCCACCCCACCCCACCCCCCAAAAAATAAGAGGGCTGGAGATGTACAGTGGTAGAGTGCCACTGGTTTCAATCTCCAATACAGGAAATAAAACCAAATCCCAAATTTTTGGCATAACTGTAAGCATTGCCAAAACCAGCAAGAAAAAATTCTCCTGATCAGTGTTTGAACTGGGTCATCTCTCGTGTCCTCCAGATGCCACCTCTTGGACCTGGCCATCCTCATAGATAAGTTTGCAATAGAACATGACAATCCCAATTCCTCACTTCTGTGATAGGATAAATTTTATGTTTTCCAAAAACTTCCCACCACACTAGAAACAAAAAATAAACTATCATAAAATTACTTTATTTCATATACATATGTAGGTATATAGTACTTTAAGAATGTGAGGTCTACCCTCCTAGCCTTTTTTTTTTTTTTTTTTTTGACAAGAGATTGAACTCAAGGATGCTTTAATACGAGCTACATGTCTGGTTGCCCATTCCTTTTATATATATTTTTTGGAGGGGTCAGTGGGGTACTGAGGATTGAACTCAGGGGCACTTGACCACTGAACCACATCCCCAGCCGTATTGATATTTTATTTAGAGACAGGGTCTCACTGAGTTGCTTAGCACCTCTCTTTTGCTGAGGCTGGCTTTGAACTTGCAATCCTCCTGCCTCAGCCTCCCTAGCTGCTGGGATTACAGGCGTGAGCCACCAAGCCCGGCTTTGTTTTATATTTTTTTTTTAATTTTGAGACATGGTCTTACTAAATTGCTGAGGCTGGTCTCAAACTTAGAATCCTCCTGCCTCACCATCCCAAGTCACTGGGATTACAGGCAAGTACCAGGCTACCCTCCTCAATGTTTAAGTTCACAGTATGGAACTGTAACAGTAAACACAATGTTGTACAGCAGGCTCTAGAATACTGGTACAACTGAAGGGCTGCTCCCTGTAGCCCCTCCCCAGGCCTGAGGCAATGACCATTTTATTCTGAGTTCAGCCACTCTAAATTCCTCCCGTGAGTGGAATCACCCTGGCTTAGCATAATGTCCTCAAGGTTCATCCATGAGATAGTTATGGCAGGATCTCCTTTTTAAGGCTGAGTAATATTCCATTATATGTGTATACCACGTTTTCTTTATCCATTTATCCACCAATAAGACATTAGGTTGTTTGAATCTCTTGGCTATTGCAAATAATGCCTCAATGAATGTGGGAATGCAAACATCTCCTCAAGATCTGAGTTCAATTCTTTTGGATTAATACCCAGATGTGAGGTTGCTGGGTCATATGGTAATTCTATTTATAATATGTTTTTTAGGAAACTCCATACTGTTTTCCGTATCAGGTGCACATTTTACACTCACCAACAGGGCACAAGGGTTTTGCATTTCTCTATATCTTCACTAACACTTATTCTTCAGCCTTTTTTTTTTTTTTTGACAACGGCCATCATTACAGTATGAAGTGACATGTCATTGTGGTTTTGACTTTATCTCCCTGATGATTAATTGAACATTTCATATACCCATTGATTGTCTGTATATCTTCTTTGGAGAAATATCTTTTCAAGTCCCTTGCTCATTTTTAAATCGCGTTATTTGGCTTTTTGTCATTGAGTTATAGATATATAGGTATCTTTAACTATATAGGTATCTATAACTAAGTTGCTAAGTTGCTGACAGCCTCACTAAGTTGCCAAGAGTGACCTTGAACTTGTGAACCTCCTGCCACAGCCTCCCAAGTTACTGGGAATACAGGCATGTACCACCACACCTGGCCTCTTTGGATTTTTTTTTTTTATATTAACTCCCTATCAGATATGTGGTTTGCAGATAGAGCAGTATCTTATGGCCTATGAGAATATAAAATTTTCAGCATGTGGCCCTGAATTTGATCCCCAATACCACCAAAAAATAAAAGAAAGAAAAAAATTCAATCATGTCTATATCAAGGAATTGCCAAGCTATCTGGGCCAAATCTTGCAGAATGTCTGTTTTATAAATAAAGTTTTATTGGCACCCAGTCATATATTTGT